AACCCGACCACATACCCCCACCAGCCCCAAGTACACACACACACATGCGGGCCAGTTACAGCCAGACACCTGCACCCTCCCATCCCATGGTGAGAGCAGTCAGCATCTCCCACAAAACGTTTTGTCTTGAGTTCCTGGCACAAGGTTCTACTCCAGGGTTAAGGATAAATTTCCAACAGAAGATGGGGGCAGCTGGTCCTGGGGGACTCAGGCCCCATGGAAGTCGCAGACAGCTGACCAATAATCTAAGAGATTGAGCTGAGTTATGGAAGAGCTGGCTGGCAGTGCACAGCAGGAAGTAGCCATGGATGACCCACAGCTGGGCCCCCTCGGAGCGTCAACTCTCAGGGCCTGGGCCCTGCCCATGAGGAATCATTCGCTGGACAAACACCAAGTGCTGCCCATGTGCCAGGCACTGTTCTAAGCACAGGGACATAGTGGTGAACAAGACAGATGTGCGCCCACCTTGCAGCCCTTCCTTAGGCCAAAGGGACAGAGAAATATCCCTTCAATCTCCATGGCAACACCTGAGTGAAGGATGGAGGGGCGGCTGTGAATGTCCCATCCCACCCAGACAGCAAGTTCCCTGAAGAACAATGCAGTGAGGGCTGACTCAGTTCCCAGCCTAGGCCCAGCAGTCAGGGACACCTGGAGAGACAGGAAACATCTCTCCAGTAGGGTGAGGGGCGGGGGTGCGACGGGGGAGAGCCAAAGGCAAAGAAGAGAATGCCACAACAAACTAAGAAACGCCAATGTCCCACGAAAGGAAGTACTTCCATAACCAGACCGGCAGGCTGGCCTGGAGGTCATCATCTCCAATTACTAGTTCTCATCTTCTGGGAAGTAAAAAATACCTCTTAAAGTCAAAACCTTAAGTTTTCAACTAACAACAAAAATTAAATGCTCAGCTGCTCACCAGCAAACTTGTATGGAATACTGGAAAATAACAGCCACAACATGAGGCATTTCTCCCCCTCAGTGGATGGAGCCTAGTTCTGTATCTCTTGAATCAGGGCTAGACAGTAGGACTTGCTTTGGCCAATGACATTAGCAAATAGGACACAGGGAGAGCTTGGAAAGCGGTTGAGCAGTGGGGCTTGCCTGCCCTTGTTTGTTTTTCCTGGCAACCCAGCAACCACCATGGGAATGAGCCCACACTAGCCTATTGGAGAAGCCACACAAAGGAGAACCACGGAACCCTTGCCTGCCAACTGCCAGACATGTGAGTGAGGCCATCCTAGAGCATCTGGCCCCAGTCAACCCTCCAGCTGACTGCAGCCGCACGAGTGAGCTGCAAAGAAACCAGCTGAAGAACCATCCCACCGAACTAAGCCCAAATTGCCAACCCATTGAATCAAGTGTGGATAGATGACTGTTGTTTTAAGCCACAACAGTTTAGGGTGGTTCGTTACACAACAGAGGCTGATGCACTGTCTTTGGAAAAAGACATGTGAGTTCATAAAAGAGCAACCACCAATTCCCAGGTAAGAACCACACAGGCAAAGACATTGGTGTGGTCACCATATATATTTCAGTGCCACAAATTCCACTTTATTTATCAGAAAACCACCAGGTGGTGGCAGCCCTTTGTCCCTGCAATTCAAACTTGGACTTAAGCTATAGCCTCACCAGCTCAGAAATCAAGTTGTGTCTCTCCTTTTAAAATAACATATAGAACCTGATGATGGTGATAAAAATAAGAGCTACTATTAACTATGATATGAGTCCTAAATTCTTCAGATTTGTCAATTACTCTTCACAGCCCTCCCCAGGAGGTAGGTACCATCATTATCCACACTTTGCAGATGAGGAAGCCGAAGCTCAGGCATCACATGGGTCAGGGAATCAAGGGAAAGGGTCAGTTCCTCCAAGTGGGCTGGCCCCAGAAAAGGGAACAGAGCTGGGGAAGGGGGGTGAGAGCAAAGATTTGGCCAGGCAGGATCTCAGGCCATGAGAAGGGAGGCCCTCCATCATTCACAGCCTCTTGGGGAAGATGCTGGACTTCCTGAGGTCACAGGAAAGAGGCAGGCACCACACTTCTCTATATGTCAAGGCCTGAGTGGCCACAGCTGACATCTGTTATGCAAAGAAACCCATGTCCAGACCAGAAAGCAGCAGCCCCAGCCAGAACCAAGCAGGGTTTTAAAAGCAGCTTTACAGAGATTCTTGCATAATAACAAAGTCACAGACGGCCATATGCTTCAGCTGCGGCTCAGGCAGAAATACATACATTCACCCACATATAATCGGAGCTAACATTTAGTGCATTTTCAGTACACTATACTATTGCTTTACACATATTAATTCATGTAATCCTGTGACAGACCCTGAGGCAGTGCTACCATTATCCACAGGGCAGGTAGAGGGAGATGCTTCTTGCTCTCCCCAGGCTCCTACCTCACTGAGGGTCAAAGCCAAAGTCACCTTCCTGCCCTCACCTCCTCCAACCCCAGCCTTCACTTACTCAACTCCAAGCACACTGGCCTCCTTGCTGCTTCTCGAACATGCCAAGAACCTGCCTTCTGGTCTATGTACTTGCCAGGAACAGCTTCTCCCAGAGTGCTCACAGCTCACTCCTCCCCCTGTTCCATTCTTTACTCAAAAGCCACCTGATCAGAGAGGCCTTTTCTGGTCACCTAAGCGCACCTTACAACCAACCCCCTCCCCATTCGGCACTCACTGCCATCTGACATACTCTATATTTTACCAATTCACCATCGTTTTTTGGTCTACCTGCTCCAAAAAGACGGGAATTTGTATCTGTTTTGTTCACTGCCACGTCCTCAGAGCCTGAAACACTGCCTGGCACACAGCAGCTATTCAGTAAGTATCTGCTGATTGCACGAGAGGAAAACCAAGCAGGGTTGTTGGAAACTTAACCAGCGTCCCCAGCTGGTAAGCAGTAGAGGCTGGATTCCGATCCCAGCCGTCCAGCCCTGGAGTACTCACCACTGCTCCTCTTTCCCCAGTCACGTCCCTTTGCACACTCAGAAACGCACTACCCACTCGCACTTGTGAGCACAGACACACCCCTCACCGCCCACCGGCACTCTGAGATCTGCCTCAGCCTCCAGGGTTATGGACAACAAGCCCCAGTCCCAATTCCCCAAAGCTCCAGGCCCCAAGCCCCACATACAGGAACTTGCCGTCGGTCTGCGAGCCTGAATAGAGTTTGCGCTCGGCCTCCTCGCGCGTCAGGCTGCTGTGGTACCAGGGCATCCGCTCGTGAGCCGTGGTGGCAATGAGCTTCTCCACCTGGGGGGCCTGGTTGATGATGGCCTGCTCCAGGGCATCGCCCTAGGGAAGGGAGGGTGGAGAAGACTTGTAAGTGTCGCCAGGTGCACAGCCACAGGAACCCTCTTCCATCTCCTGTACCCTCCCAATTGCCTCGTCCCCATGAGACACTCCACTCACGCTGGAGCATCTAGGTGAGTCGTTTAGGTGGTTGAGGACAGACAGCCCCTGCCCATCTCCACGGTCCTGCACCAACCCATCCAGGCCCGGCCCATCCAGGGCCGCGGCCCAGGCCCTGCCTTCTAGCCGGCCCTAAATTCATCTCCTGCTTGAAAATCTAACATTGGTAATCCCCCAAAGTGGTGTAGTACAGAATGTCAAAGACCACAACCCACCGCCCCTTCCGCCGACCTACCCCAGGGCACCGCCCCCGCCATCCGCTCAGGCCCCGCTTCCAGCCCAAGCCTCGCCCCCTCCGGACTCAGCGCGACCTCCACCTTCCTCGACGTAGATCTTCACATCTGGCTTGGACATGCACCAGAGCATCGCTCAAGCCCCTGCCTCGAGGCCTCCTCCCAAGTCCCGCCCGCAACCAGGCCCCACCGCTCCAGCATCCAAATCGGGCGCAGCACCGCAAAGCGCAAACTGGCCATGACGAGCGCTTTCGCATTGCTCTGCCGGCCACCAGGGCCCGCCCTTCTCGACCCCGCCGTCCCAAGACCCTCCCTCCAGCCCCGCCCTCCAAAGAGCCGCCCCCTCCGGCCACGCCCTCCCAAGGCTCGCCCCTGGGTCCCCGCGCTCTCACCTCCAGCTTCCAAGTCTGACGCACGTAGTCGCGCACCATGGCATCCCGCAGGCTATCGAAGACCCCGGGCTGCGGCTCGAGCCCTGACGGCCGGTTGCACGGCTTGCGCAGGTTGCAGGGCAGCCCGTCGGGGTCGCGCGAGTAGAATTCGCAGAGCTCGGCGGGGCCGCAGTGCGCCTTTCCGCCCGCAATGGCGTAGGTGCCATTGAGCTGGCGCTCGATAGGGAAGTGGTGGAAGCGCACGTCGTGCACGAGCGAGAGCACATAGCCGCCCAGCGAGCGCAGACACTGGCGCAGCAGGAAGAGCCCGTCGGCCATGCCCGCCAGCTTCAGGTGCTCCTCGGCCTCGGCGCGCGAGATGCTGCCGTAGAAGAAGGGCAGGTGCGCTGCGGGGTCCGGCATCGCCGCCGCCGCCCTGCGCGGGTTGCGCGCCCCTGCGCCTCTCCAGACCCTGTGGGTTAAGAACGGGGTTGGGGACACATCAGGGCCTCGGTTTCCCTTCCTGAACCCGACCATTAGGCCCACGCGTTGAAGGGCACCGTGCGGCAGAGCTTGGCCTGCTTAGTGTGCAGGGCGGAATTTGTGCCAAAGTCAACTTAGAGAGGAGCCCCGCCCTGCTGGACTCAGAATGGGGGGGTCACAAACCAGCCTTTGACTTTTCAGACCTAGTGCGGAGCGCCCGGACACCCGCACTGGCCCCAGCACACCAGCACCTGGAACCATTCATTCACCTACCAAACGCGTGTTGAATTCTGTATTTCAGCCTAGTACTGGAGACAGGTGTGAATAAGACAGATAAGACAGACACGGTCCCTACCCTCCTGCAGGTAACAGTCAGAGAGGGGGGATGCAGTAAACATAAAAGGAAAGAGACAAAAATAATCATTACAGACTGAGGTATTTTAAAGGAAATAAGTCGTGTGAGACTGAGCGGGAAGAGACCACTGTAGCTGGGATGGTCACATTCTTCGCGGAGGTAGCATTTGACCTGAGATCCGAAGGATAAGGAGGAGCCCACTTCTCAAAGAGCATGGAAGAGCACATCAGGTGGAGGAAACAGCAAGTTTGAAGATCCCTGAAGCTGGAACAACCTTTGCTAATCAAAGGAATTGACTCCGTTAGCCTTCCGCTCTCTTTTCCCACTGACTCTTTCCCCACAGCCTTAGAAATTTCCCCTTTCCCTGCTCCCTCTGCCCTCATGACCCAGTTTCTAGAAAGCATAAACTAATTTGAATACCCATTAGTGGAGGACTGATTGAATACATTAGGATTTTACTCCAATGTGAACTTTGATACAGCCACTAAACAAGATGAAGTGTGTGATGGGAAAGTATGACCCTATGTGGGGCAAAGGAATTAAGGACCTTTAGATAAATAGGTGTCTGGTGAGGCAACTTTCTGGGGTGATGGTGATGTCCCATGTCTTGATAAGCATTGGGTTACACAGGTATCTGAATTGCTCAAAATTCAGAGAATGTACCAACTTAAGATTTGTTCATTTCATTGTATTTGGGCCCCTCAATTTAAAAAGAAGCATAAAATATTGAACCCCAGTCAGTGATCGGCATGCAAAAATATTTAGGTGTGACGGATACTGATGACTGTAATTTACTTTGAAAGGCATCCAAAAAATGACATGGATGGATGGATGGGTAAGTAGATTGGTACAACTGAGTCTTGTTACTCACAATATTTCTATAAAATTCCTGTAAACACTGAATTAGTAAGTACTGCATGATTGCTTCTAGAAGAAATCTGGAGTTAGGTTCCTTCAAGCCTCTAGTCACAACATTTTCATCAACAGATTGGCACATGACCTTATTTTATGTGTACTTCTATTTAGAGACACCTTATTCAATTATATTGTTGATTCATTAACACTGAACTCTTGGTTAACATCCTAACTTTAAACTTATCCAACACATACTTTTTCTGTGAGGCACAGCACAGCCTTCTTGCACTTCGAACACTAGACAGCACCTCAGCACTGCCCCTGGGGGTCATTTAAACAGTAAAATCACCAACAAAAAGCACAAAAATGTGACACTGAATAGACTGTGAGCAGGATACTTGTTTACAGTGTGAGCTGAAACCAGAAGGCAGAGCATCGCCTTGTTCAACCTCAGCAGGAACCAGCAGGTCTGTTGACTCAAATTTCTCACCACTCTGCACACACCCTCAAATGACTGTGAATGTGCAGTGAGCATTAGTTTTAGAGTTACAAATAAATTTTAGCAAGTAGGCAATTGGCAGATACGGAATCCTGATAATAATGCAGATCAACTGTACGTGATAATGCAAATATAGCAAAATGTCAATTGTAGAATCTAAGGGGTGGATAATTTGTACAACTAAGTTTTCCCATTTTCTGTATATGTGTAAGTTTGTATATAATGTTGAAAAAAATGATCTCCCCATAACAGTTTCTGGTCCTTTCTCTACTAAAATGGGCTCAGCAAGGCCACCCAGGCATAGGTGGGTGTTCCTGGAGTACCCTTCTTAGTTAAACAATTGTAAGCAGGGAATGCAAAGAAAGCTTTTGTGGATAGAGAAAGGCTGCCTCTCCCTGTAATCAGGGAATGCAAAGAAAGCTTTTGTGGATAGAGAAAGGACATGCAAGGATGGGCACTGCTGCTGAGCGGAAGATACTAGAGTGGGAATCAGATGAGGTCTGAACCAGGGCAGCTGAAGGAGGGGATCGAATCTGCATTCTAACCAGACACCAGGGTTGGGAGGGCCAGGGTTAGGGCGGGGGGGTCCTGGATGTCCCAGTAGTTACAGGTAGGTGGTTAAGCAGGGACTGCCTCTGTGGCCCCGCCTGGAGATGCAGGTCACTATTTCATAAGAGTGTTCAAAGAGTCGTGAGGGCTCCTAGGTATTCATCCTAGAGAAACCTGTTCACACAAAAACCTGCACAGGAATGTTTATGGCAGCTCTGTTCACAATTGCCAAAATTTGGGAACAGATCAAATGTTTCTCAACAGAAACAGATGAACGGTCCCTCCAGTGGGACACGACTCAGCTGTCAAATGGAAGGAAGTGCTGATAAACACAACATGAATGAATCTCAGAGGTTTCATGCTTAGTGAAAGGAGCCAGGCTCAAAAGGCTACAAACCATCTGATCCCATTCAAAACTGTCAAACACAAGAGTGGCTGCTGGAGGCCCGAGGCCTGGTGGGCAGAGAGGGGCGGGGGTGTGGACTGACTACAAAGGGGCATGAAGGAATACAGGGGACTCGTCTATATCTTGATTGAGATGGTAGTTCCCCGGCTGTAGACATTTATCAAACCTCACAGAATTTTTCACTAAAAAGGGTGAATTTTACTGTATGTAAATGACACCTTAATTTTTTTTAATTAAAGGGGGAAAAGGGAGCTGGAAGGTATAGACACACCAGGCACTAAAAATAATAACTGAAAGAGGAGAGAGGGCTTGTCTACACGCCTGCCTCTCTTCCTCCATTCCCTCTGTCTTGTCCAGCCTCACAATCTGTTCCCCCCACCCCCCACCAGGCTGCTCTCCAGCTGTGGGCAGCACTGATGTCACCACCAGATGGGTACCAGGCAAGCACTTAGTGAGGCTGGGTCCCCTGAGTGATGGACGCCATGACCACCCCCCACCCCCGCTTGAACATTGTGGTGTCCTTCACGAACGACCTGACTTGCCGCCTCCCTCTCCCATGGTTCTTGCTCTCTCTCCTTCCTCAGCCGCTGTCCCCAGCTTGGGCCATCCTGTCTGTGGCTACTCATGCTGCCACTCCCACTCATGTAGTTCAGATCTCTCTCCTGAGGGCAGTTTGTGCTGCCATCACCTCCTTTGATCTCCATCAGCTGTTTCTATTAATAAAACCTGAGATCCATATCTAACTCACATGATGCCTGTGGTCGGCTGAACCCCACAGTCTATTTCCCGCTTGAGCTGAGCTCTGGGGTCTGCAAGTTGCTTTTAGGCAATTCTTCCCCAAGGCCTCCCTTACTCAAGAAACTACTGTGGCTCCCTCCTGCCTACATCATTGACTCTAACTAAATTCCTCAGCCCTCCCTCTGCTCCAGCCAGGCTGCCTTCCTTCAAGTCCACTTCCATACTTGTATCCATGCTATGCCCTCCTCACTCCTCTCTGCCCCTCCAATCCAGCCAGCCCTGCCTCGCAGACTCACAGCTCCGCTCCCCGCAGAGCATCAGGACACAGATAAGGCAGCAAAGTGCATGTCTGTCCAGGGGCCACAGGGAGGGGTGGGGGTAGTGAAACCGGTCTCTGGGGCAGGAAACTGTGGCAGGAAACTACCGACAACACAGTTTGAGAAGCCCCGCCCCGGTGGCCACAGGTGCAGCCTGGGTGGCCAGAGGCAGGTTAGTGCAGAAGCAGGAATGGGGAGAGGCTGGCCCTTGGGATCCTAGTCCAGAGCCAGAAGCCAAGACTGGCGACCTTGGGCCTGAGACCAAGGTGTTCCAGAGGCGGGAGCCTTCGCAGCTTTAGCCCCACCTCCCTGTCTCACTGCTGACAACAGTAACAATGGCTTTCAGAGGAGCCTGGCCGCCCACAGCCTCCGGGAGGGTCAGATGTCTGTCCTGAGCCGTGTCCCCGCAGACTGTATGGCTTTCCCAGAAGACGTGTCCACCACGAGACTCCCCGACCCCTGGACTGACCCCCTCCTCTCGCCTCGAGCTTGCAAGCTCCTAGTGAGTTCAAAGATCCTCACCCGGCCTCCCCAGAGCTCGCAGCTCCCCAGGAGACCACGGGCCCAGCCTCATTCTCACAGCCCAGGCCTTGGGAGGAGGGAAGAAAACTTTGATCCTTGGCCAGGCAGCTCGGCCTGAAATTCCACGTTTCAAGCATCCTTTTGGGGGAAAGGCAGGGTTGAGTTATATCTGGTCTAGACACACATGGTGCCCCAAACATACTTCAAAGAAAAACAGAGCCAAGTGATCAAGTATGTTTTCTAAAGCCGTGGAAAGCATATTAGCATATTAAAGGCTCTGAGAAGGTGTGCACGGAAGGACCCTTTCTGGCTTTGTTTAATCCCACACTTGTTTAATCCCACACTTGTTTAATCCCCATACCTGTGTAGCAGGGCCTTGAAGCTCTCCTGTTCCACAGAATACACTCTGAGCATCAAAAGCCCCAGTTAAATGTCTACCATGAGAGACCAGAGGGGAGACTGAGGCAGTCCAGCTACCAAGAGAATGAGCTGATCCAACTAGATGCGGCGGTGGTGAGGTGGGAGGCGGGAGTGGCAGCAGCCAGGCCTGGAGGTCCCGTGTGCCACCCTCAGCCAGACCCCCAAAGCGCCCCCACCCAAGGCACTGCTGGGATAGGGCCACAGCCCCTTACGGCCCCTCCTCTCACTGACCCCCAGTCCTCTGCCTGAGACCCCCCAGTTCGCTGCAAAAGCCATATTTCCTGCTCTTCAGTCCACCGGCCAACAACAGAGGCAGCACAGACATTTGTCAGCCAACAAAATGCCACCTTGGTTACAGTCTGAGTCATGGTGACAGCAGTTAGCACTGTGCCATGGATGGTGACAGGCGCCTTCTTATCTTTCTCCGGACACCAGGGCACCAGATTTGATCATGGATCTACTGGGCGGCAGCAGCGTGGTCCTGAGCAGGGAACTGAGCTCACCAGACCACACCTGGAAAGTGGGGCCACCGAAGGTGCCCAACACTGGGGGGTTGCAGGGGTTCCGTGAGATAAGTCTCACCAAGCGCTTAGCATGGGGTCTGGCCTGCCCCTGTCCTGTCGTGTCCTCCTCTGCTCACAGTCCTCTGGGACTCCCACCTCACTCAGGGTTAAAGCCCAGGACCCACAGCGGCCCCTAAGGCCTTGCACAACCTGTTCCCTCACCTTCTTGCCCTCACTCACTCCCCGCCAGCCCCTTGGGCCTCCTTATGTTTCTTGTTCAGGGCACTGGAACAAATCAGGCCCGGTCCAACCTCAGGGCCTTTGCACTGGCTGTTCCCTCTGCCTAAACACTCTTCCCCCAACATCCCTCACTTCATTCGAGTCTCTGCGTAAATGTCACCTCCTCCAAGAGGCCTTCCCTGACATCCCTCTCTAAAATTCCCTCTTCTCCTCTCTAGATCCTTGACCCAGCGTTATTCTTCACCACCGAAAATGTGATGATACTTGTTGATGTAGGGCCTGTGTCCTCTGCTAGAATGTAAGCTCGGTGAGAGTGGAGACTGTCTTGTTCTCCTGCCTATACCAGGCAGGCACATAGTAGGTGCCCAGTAAACATACAAGGTGTGCCAGAGGCTACCAGTACTGGGTACCTAAGAAGGTATGCAGCTGCTGTGATGGGTGGAGGCACCTCTGCGGGGCCTTGGAATTTGGCTGCCTGAGGAGGGCTGAGGGACTATGGGGGCTTCCTTGGGAAAGAAGAGTGAATGGTGACCTAGAGGTCACCTCTATCCTCCACTAACCAATGGTGGCAGAGGGGAGGAGACTTTGCACAGGCTGTTCCCTCTGCCTGGAACAGCACCTACACCCTTCTCCTGGCCACATGGTTTAGGTCCCCTTAGCTGTCCCCTCCACCCAGAAGTGTCCTGTAATTTCCACCCCTCCCTGCACAGCTGGGTCATGCACCTCCTCAGTTCTCCCAGAGACCATCCTCCCACATCACAACCCCGATGGCCAAGTATGGGCACTGTTTGCTCTGCTGTCTCTGACCAGGCTGAGCTCCCCAGGGCAGAGCCTCGCCTGTCTTGTTTTCACTGCAGCCCCTGCTTCCCCTAAACAAGTATTTGCCAAACAGGCAACAGCAACAATAACCTCTGTGCCAGAGGCTTTTCTACACCTCTGCCGAGCATTAACCCTCACGTCAACTCCACTGAATGGGAACTGCTATCCCCATTCCTCAGCTAAAGAAACTGAGGCTCAGAAAGGTTGACATTAAGTTCAGAATCATGTGGCCTGCAAGTGGCAGTCAGGATGTGAACCCAGGTCTCTCTGGTCCAGAAGCCAGCACTAACCACTCTAGCAAATGTCCATTAGGAGAGCAGAATCCATGGCTCTGTGCTGGGTCCCCAGGGCTCCCACCCTAGCCTGGCCCGGGTGTCACTGCACTTTGAGCTGCCCTCAACTGTCAGGGCACAGAGTGCTGGGCTGTTGGTGGATAAGAGGCTGGTCCTCAGGTCCAGCAGACTCTGTTGGCCGAACAATGCCACAAGACCAGTCCCACCCCCAACCCCAACCTCTGCTGCTGGGGTTCTAGGGCTGTGTGACCTCAGCAAGGAGCTATCCCCCTCTGGGTGTCAGGCTCTGTGACTGTAAAAGGGAGATGGGAAATGGCTTAGGGGACGGAAAAGGTGTGATGAGTAGGGAGGACAGAGCCCGACAGTGGGGACAGCATGGTGCTATCCGCACATTGCAGGGTGTTCAGCGGCATCCCTGGTCTCCATTTCACTAGATGTCAGTAACGCTCCCTGAATCATGATCAGAAATGTCTCCAGACATTATCAAATGTCCTCAGTGGAGCAAGGAAGGCAAAACTGACTCTGGCTGAGAAGTACTTCCTTAACCCTAGGCTTTGGGGTGAGGCAGGGAGTGGCCAGCGTGGAGAGGTCTGGTTGCTACAGCTCCCCCAGAGAGTCTTGGGGAGCTAGGAGACCACCCAGAGCTAGTGATGCTCATTAGGACTGCAGCGCTATGCTTGTACTGCACCCACTGTGTGGTGCCAGGCACTCTAGATCAATTCACCCGCCTAATCCCCACCAGACAAACCTGTGAGTGGCGGATTTGTGGATTTGGGACATGAGGACAAAGAGGAGGAGGGACTTGCCCGAAGTCACAAAGCACAACCAGTAGGTAGCCAAGCCAGGACTCAATTCGGCTTCCTAGCTCCAGAGTGTACACTGAAGCACCACCCAGGCTGCCTGCCTGCCCGGCGTCCCCGCCAGGGCTGAGCGGTGAGGCTGAAGGACTGGCGAAAACAGGGAAAAGCAGCTCTGTATTGGCAGGAGAAGGGCCCTCACAGGTGATGCCCATGGACTTTCCACTCAAGGAGTCCCTGACTCTAATCTTTATTCAAAGAGTCAGAGCTTTACAAGCACCTACTGTGTGCCTGCTGCCCTGGCTGGGTCAAGTGGAGCGAAGTTGGTCTTGAGCCGTTCACCACATGAACGCCTGTTCCTTCCTGCTGAGACCATTTACTGCCTAGGATATCTCTCCCAACATTTCACCCAACAGTTAGGAGACAAGGACATACTAGGTGCCAGTATTTGCATCTGCTTTTAACAGATCTGCAAATTGAGGTTCAGAGAGGCCAAGCAACTTGCCAAGGACACAGCGATTGAGCAGGATTCGAGCTGTTTGCTCCTCCACCTCTCTGGTTTCCCCTTTAACCTGAGCTCTTCTACAAGTGACTAGATCCTGCCCTGGGCCCCCTGATGGCAATCAACCGCATCTTGATGTTCGAGTTCATGGCCCTGTTGAACCACCCTCATACTCACAGGCCTGGGGGCCAGAGCACACGTTGCTTTCTCTGCTTCCTGGAGCCAAGGTTGCCGCCCTGATGGGGCCCAGCGGGAGGCCAGGGACTGAGCAGTCATCTCTGTGGCCCCTGGATATTTGTGTCCACTACCACTAGGCTGACCCTCTAAAGGGAGACCTGCTTCCTTCAGGATGGCCACAAGCCATGTCTGTTTCCTCCTCCAGCTGGACACCACCCACCACAGCCCTACAGCCCTTCTGGTCCCCTCAGTGTCCTCCTGACTCTGTCCTCCTCCACCAGACCCAGGCCACTCCTGCAGACAGCAGCCCGGTACTGCTCCCTCAGGCAGGACTTACCTGGGACGTGTTGATGGGTTTTGAGGCACGAGCCACCTGCAAGTTCTCTGGTCCCAAAACCAAAAGACAGCTGGTTCTAGATGAAGAATTGGAGCCCAAGAAACCAACGTGGGTTTCTCTGCAGCCTGAGCCCCCAGCCTGAGGCCCCCACTGGCTAACCACCCCCTCATACACTCCAGCAAGGTGTAAGGAGGTCACACTCCACCAGGGTTTCTCACTCAGAGTGGGGGTGGGGAGGGGAATTTGATTCACCCTCTGCCAGCTGCCCCGGAAGCCCCTGCGGTGGCCGTGCTGGCCAGACAGAGGCAGAAGGCTGGAGGACGGCCACTCACCTGGACACACCAGCAGAGCACGGGGGTCCTAGCTGGGCAGGGACCTGGCCCCGAAGGCCTGATGTGTTCTTCACGGCGGGTTTCTCTGAAACTCAAGTCTATTTCCTTGATGCGAAGACAGGAAAGGGGGCTGTGTTTGAAGTTGACGTCAGAGTCACAAAGTGCTGTGTTCAAGGAAAATCGCAGGCCACGTGCTCTGGGGAGGGCAGAGGGCGTTTCCGGGGCCAAGCAGAGCCTGCCTCATCAGTGGGGGGAACTGAGGCTAGCTGCCTGCAGGGGTGGTGCAAGAATGATGATTCCAACAGCTTCCCCCAAACCTGGGGAGAAGGGAGAGCTGTGTGCCGGAATCGGGGTGGGGAAGTGGCGGTGGGAGGGGGAACCCCCAGACTCACTGGAAACTGGAATGCCCCTCTTTCCCCCTCCAAGGAGGGATGGACCCCGGGCCTGTCCCTGGCTAGACTGCTCATGTGAGTGACTTATTTATTCCACAGGCAGGTGAAAGCTGGCAAGAGAAGAAACCTACATGCAGGTCCACACCGCAAGGGTTCAGAGCACCTACTGTGTGCCAGACATCAAGACAACAGCAACAGCCCTGTCCCTGCCCTCGAATGGTTCACAGGCTAGATGAGGGGGCAGCTGAGCCACCAGGGAGACCAGGGCTGGGAGGGCCGAAGCCTGGACACCGTCTACACAGAGGAGCCTGGGGCTGTCGGGAGGACTCTAAAGGGGGTCGGTCATATCATCAAGACATGGAGACAGTGTGTCCCCCAGCACCCAGCCCAGCCCGGCCTCCCACCCTGCACCTGGCTGCTCACCACCTCCTGTGCTGCTCACAACCTCTTCCTCATCCTTTTTTCCTCCTCACACTCGCCCAGCCTCTGACCATCGACCACACCTCACATCTGCTCCCTCAGCACCCCACAGAGCTGCTGCAGGCTGGCCCCTGTCCTGGTATCCACCCCACCCCATCTCCCCCCAGGCCTCAGGGGCTCTCTCACCCCCATTTCCTTGCTCTCTTGACCACGTGAGCACCTCTTCAGTGGCTTGCCACCTACGGGGCCCCAGGGACCTGCGTGGGGCTGTCCTTGGCCTACTCTTGAGACCACAAGAACCTCTCCTCTGGGGTCTCTGCCCTGGGGGAAGTGGGATCAGCTCCCCAGCCGGCCCGCTGTTTCCTCCATGCTTTACCCCAGATCCCCTTTCCTGGAACCCTGTCCCCTGCTCTCTACTGCCTCCCAGTTCCCTGAACCCGCTTCCCTACTCAGGAAATCTTTTTTCTAAGCTCCAGGCTGGGATTCTTTTCTCCTATATCAATTTCCCCAAAAACTGTTTTTGTTAGACATCTTTCCTTTCCCCAGACATGGTGAAATTCAGGATGCAGAAAAAAAATCTTCATTTCCATACTGGATACTCCTTCCCTGGGGGAATGAGAGAAGGATGGCCTGGCAGACTGAAGAGAGGGGAAATCACAATCACATACTTACAGGTGCCACACAACGTAAGTGGTTTACAATTTAACCCACTGAATCCATTTTCCAGATAAGGTAAGTAAAGGCCAGACAGGTTAAATAACAGATTTAACCAAGTGGCCAGGTGTGGTAGGAGCAGGAGCAGTGCGGTAGGAGCATAGTCCAGGTGATGGTGGACAGAGGAGGAGGAAAGCTTGGTTCCAAAGTAGCTCCCTGTGGGGCCAGCCTCCCGGAGACTAGGAGGTGCACAGGCTGCCTGTGGGGCGCCCGAGGGGCAGCAGCACTGGGGGCTTCTTGTCTCCGAGGTCTTCAGACCTGAGAAAGGCTCCTAGCCTCTGCAAGGCACTGGCTCAGCAACCCTCTAACCCCTTTCCATCCCAGAGACCACGTCCTGAGAGGTGCAGGCCAGCCGGGCACTCAGACTCAGACAGTTCTGAGATGGGCCTGCAGATAAGGCCGTGTGTTCTGCCGAAGAAGAGGGAGGTGGATGCAGCTTATCTTCTGACCGAGCAGAGGAAAGAGCAAACGGATGGAAACATGGGCTGGGAAAGCTGTAGTGCAATTGCCAAGTGTGGGTTTGGGTAAATACTCAATCTAGACACGCAAAGAGCCTCGGAAGAAATCGATCACTCGCTTTCACACACCCCCAGCCTTTGCCCAGCTGTGCCCCAGCCTGAACTCTCTTCTCCTTCTCTTCAACCAGCTGACTCCTCCTCCTCTTCCAGGTCTCTGATTAAATGCAGCTTCCTCCAGGAAGCCTTCCGGTCCTCAGACTGTGCAGAGTGGTGCTGATTTCACCTGCCCTGGTGCCAGCCAGATTCGATTCCACAGTTAAAAGCACTCCAGGCCACCGCTGGGGAAACATCTTGTGGGTGGGCTGCAGGGTGGGGGCTCCAGCCTGCTGAGAGGGCTCACAGCTCCAGCGCAGTGACCCCCCCCAGGGCCCCTCCTGAATTCCCTCCCACCTGGGTGTCTTCAGCCCTGCAGCATCTGCCTCTCCTCTGGGTGCTCAGACAACGTGACTTTCATCTCCTTTCTTCCACTTATAGCTGAGGGACCTCGAGCAAGCTACTTGACCTCTCTGTGCTTTAATTTCCTTATTTAGGAAATGGGGATGATACTGACACCTACCTCATTAAAGCAGATACTCCATTACTGCCATCATCATCATCACCATCATCTCTCAATTTCCCCAATTTCTCCAGTGTGCTAGTGACTGCATGTCCAAGGTCAGGAATGGAATTTCCTCGCACCCCCTAGGGGCAGCTCTTGAGTACAGCATCCTTCCAAGAGCAACTCAGGATTCTAAGGGTTGAAAGTGACATCCCCCAATCCCCACAAAAAAAATTAATCCAATCTGGCTTAAGTGAGAGGAGAACTGACTTCCTACCAGCAGCCGTTCGCTGTGCCCTCCTCTGAGGGTCATCCAGTGGATGGATGCTTCTTAAATGTCCAAACCACAATGACAATGTCATCTCTTCAGAGTCCTTTGGTGGCTCCCTTTTTATTCAACACTGAGTACCTGCTCTACATTCTCTGCTCTCTGCGCTATGGAGCAGCTGTGAAAAACACAGATGAAAATCCCTTCCCTTTTGGAGTTAACATTCTAGTGGAGGAGCTAGAGAAGTTACAAAATCATCAAATATTCTATAGAATCTACCAGGTGGTTCCAAGTGCTGAGGAGTAAAATACATCGGGAAAGTGTAGAAGAGGGGTGTGTGATTTTGAACAGAGGGGTCAGGGCAGGTCTCACTGAGGGGATAACCTGTGAGTCCAGACTTGAAGGAGGTGCAGCAGGAAGCCATGGTGATATTGGGGGAAGAGCATTCCAGGTACAGGGAGCAAGTACAAAGGTCCTGGGGCAGGACTGGATCTTGTTCCTGGATGCATTCCTAGCAACTAGAGTGGCAGCTGGCACATAATAGAGTTTAACAAACATAGCATGGATGGATGAAAAGCCCAGGTAAGAGCTTCAAGAACAAGTTGCTCAAATGATGGCGTCAGAGTTGTTACCTTCTCCACCTGTTAGCTTTATTCTCAGACAACTTTTCGTCCTGTGGCCCAAGACAGCAATTCAGCTTCAAATCCCACTCAAGAGAAAAATCTATTTCCCAGTATTCCCAGCAAAGGCCCCAACTCATTGGCTGAGTGGATCACCTGTCCATCTCCTGACCAGTCCCTGAAACCAGGCTATGGTAGAAGGATGCTGGACAGGCAATGAGTCAAGGTTTTACAGAATAATAACAGTTAAGATTTATTTATTCATTTATATTAAGCACTACCGAGTGCTGGCCCCAGCTAAGGTGAATTTAATGCTCACAATAGCCCCATGAAGTAGCTTAGCCCCATTTTATAGATATAGAAACTGAGGCCAAAAGGAAACTGAGGCTTGAGTTTTTACAGCTAGAAAGTGGCAGAGCCTGAGATCTCCTGGCTCAAAGGGAGCCCAGAGAGTCCACAAGACTCAACCCTGAAATCCCCTGTGCTGTCTGCTGGCCACCCCTCACCAAGCCAGGCACAGGCTGGCTGCACCAACCACTGAGCTGGAGGCAGAAGTCCTTAGCACAAGAGCACACCGAGAACACCAAGGGAGCTGCCTCTGACACAGAAAGAAGGAAATGAGGGACCACTCAGGGCAGGCTCCCAGTGGGCCCACAGGGATGGGGAGGCCGCTGCCGACAGAGCCTAGAGGCAGCTGACCCCGTGTCCCTCAGACAGAAGCCTGAGGTCGGGGTAGGCGGCCAGTGGGAGGGTAGGCTGCCTCCCATGTCAGAGGTCCCGAGAAGTCAGGATGAGGATGGGATGCGGGTCAGGGTGCAACCTGCCAGGAGCTCAAGAAAGGAGCTAGTAGTTATGGTGTGCCTGCTGTATACCTGAGCCCTGACAGCCACATCTCCTTCCAAGCTCAGGAGGACACCAGCAGCCTGCTTCAGGAAGGCAGACCAACCTGCTCTCCATAGCGTCCCCCGCACCCAGCCCAGCTCAGTGCCTACACACAGCAGGACCTCAATTAATGTTTGCTGCAGAATGAACCTCCCAATGGCCCTGTAAAGAAGGTAAATTCCTACCCCTGTTTAAACTGAGGCTCAGAGAAGATCAAGGCATGACCAGTATTGCGGTTCAGTTGCACCCAGCTCCCAGAGGAGCATGCCTGGGAAATGCCGGAGCTGTGAGGTCTGGGGCAGCTAGATCTCGGGTGGAACTGGCTGGCCAGGCATCCAGAGACCTGGAGGGCAGCCACCCACCTGGAGTAACTGGAGTCCTACTCTCATGAAATGTTCACTCTTCACCTCTCTGGTCTCAGCACCCTTGTCTGTGAAATGGGAACGATCACGCCCACCCTCTGATGAACGGGTTCGATCACAGAGGCCAAGGCCAGGCCCACGGCATCTCCCAGCGAGAGCTCTGGGAGGGCAGGTGAGCCAGGATGTCCGCCGGGGCACCGTGTCCGGCACAGGGCGGTGCTGGCTAAACACGTGCCTGAGTGAGGACCAGTGCTCAGTAAATAATGCTGCTGCTGATGCTGCTGAGGGAGAGCCCCTCCCCTCGCCCCCTGCTGCATTCACCCAGTCCCCCCAGTTCTTCTTCCCTGTCCCCTCCTACCTTACTTGCTCCCACCCCTCCTCCATTCAGATCCTCCCCCTCGACCATGCCATTTCTCTCCTGTCCCATCTGTGCCCCATTCCTCCTCCCTCCTCCCCCACCGCATCCTCCCTCTGGTTTTTCCTTCTCTTCCCCAACCTCCCGCATTATTCTTCCCTCGCCCTCCCCAGCACTTAGCCCAGCCCTTCCTCACTCCTCCATCCTCCCCTTCCCTCACCTTATTCTCTCACTCCACCCCACCCCCTGGGCACTATCCCCGGCTGGCAGGGGCTTTTCATAACCCTGGCAGGCTCGGGCTCACAGGAAGTGACTTCCCCTCCTTGGGGGGTCCCTCCATCCCCAGTGGTGACACTGTTGGGGGACTGGTGAGTGATGCTGCCCAGGCCAGCACAAGACAGGGCTGCAGGGGTTCCAGAGCCCCCCACCATCACCCCCATCAGCTGTCCCCAGGACACTGCAGACCTGCTAGCCACAGCCACAGGGTCTGCCCCACCCCCACCCACGCCTGCACACTTCCTTTTTGTTTTCGTTTTTTTATCTTTTTCTGAGAAGACAGAGGATCCCACTTTCCAAAGGGAAGTCCCTTGGAACTGGAGTGGGATGTAGGCCAGAGGGTCCAAGGAGTCCTTCCAGAGCTAAAGCCTGTGGAGCTCGTTCGGGGGTATTAACCTGGACCTAAAGGGCCATCATGACTCTCTGGGGCTGGTCCACCCTCCAGGCCAGGGCCCAGGCAGCTGCAGTAAGATTCAGACAAGTAAGTGGGCTGATTTTTAATTGTGGGGAGAGAGGAGCTGAGAAATGTCCTACTCAGACCCACCCTGGCCCTGACCCCTCCTCCAGTTCCTCACAGCTAAAGCTTTGGGGGCTTCCCCAGTTTGGGAGGGCAAACAAGGAAAACCCCAGAGCTGGAGAAGCTAGCGATGGAACTCCTGATCTGAGCCATCCATCAGGCCCGATCTGTCAGAAGCACCTCTGTTCCCTGGGGCTGCTTCACTCACTCTACCTCCCAAAAAGGGAGACCAGAATCTTCCTACTCATTGCTCAGCCGGCCCGAGAGTCCTGGAGACTCAGGTGGCAGGGGCTGGGCTACGCAATGGATACAGCACAGACCCTGGATCTGGATTAGAGGCCAGGCTGCCCACTTAGCTATGTGACCTCTAGCTAGTGACCTTACCTGTCTGAGCCTTCCTTTTCTCCAAATAAGGTGAGTATTGTCACATTAAAAGAGTTTACACACACAATGGATTCTCAGTAAGTGTAGCTTATTATGGTGGTGGATGGGTCCCAAGCTAAAGCCTACAGGTGACATGAGAGAGAGACTTCTCGAGACTCAGGAAAGGAGTGTGGAGCCTGGCAGGAGGCCTGGGTCCTCTCCAGGCAGAGGGAGGATGAGCCTGGGTGGGGGGTCTCAGCCTGTAGGAGATCTGCACCTGGGGAAACTGCAGATGTTCCCTGTAACAAGAGCAGGAGCAAGGGCATCCCTGAACGGAGGGCGTTCTACACCCAGGAGGGGTGAACACTGGCCACGCCCTTATCTCAGCCACGCCTCTGGTCCTTGGACCACGCCCACCCTGACATGCCCCTCCCCTGGTTTTCCCTCTGCCTCAGTCTGCCCTTTGTCCACAGGGTTGCCCTGGTGTGGCCCTGCCCCTCCTGAGGCCACGGCTCCCTAGAGTCTCTAATAGCCAGTTCCTAATGCTAAGTCTGCACTAGTCATTAATGCCTGTTCCTTCCCTAGCTAACATACCCCAGTCCCTGCACTTGGGCCCTCAGGCCACGCCCCTCACAGGTGTCCTGAGCCAAGTCCCCCACCCCCTACCCCTTGATTAGAACCCTTTGCTTAAGCCGCACACTTTCCTTGAACCTCTGACCTCTGCCTCAGATCTTGCTCCTATCCTCATCCTTCAAAGAGCTGCTGAGACCCCTGCGAGGACGCACGTGGCTGGACTCCACCGCTGCTCCTTCTGCTCCCCCCGGCTGGGGCCACAGGAAGGTGTGTCTCCCCTTTGGGTCACGAGCCAGAAGGCGTGGATTGGACCCGAGCTCATGGACCAGAGGGGCCACTGCGGACACGCAGTGGCTGCATGTCTTCCTCCAGCCGCTGAGACAGCCCCAAAACAGACCTCAGGATCTCCCCATCCCTGGAGACAGGACCAGGACCCCCCTCTCTGGACCCCACCTTTCAAAGCAGGGACAAGAATTCCCTGAACTATAACAGCTGCTGCTCGCTGGCTGGCTCCGGCAGCACTGACATGAGTTCCCGCCTCCCCTCTTTTCCCCTGTAGGCTCCAAGCCTCGGCCCCTTGGCCCCTTTAGTAATGGGGACATAGAGTCATAAGCCCTCTACCAAAGAGCTTCAGCCAGCTGTCTCCCATGTCCTCAGAAATGTGCCAGGACCATGCCTGATTCCAGTATCTTTGGTTGCCTCCTGTATTTTGATATAGTAAGTGTTCAATTAATACCTTTTCATTGAATAGCTGTAAAAAACGAATCAATGCTTTAATAAATAAATAAATCCACAGTCAGTCAGGTCAGTCTCTGAGGAAATGTGCTAAGTCTCCTGCACTAGTCATTAATGCCATGACCACCATGAGCATGCTGTGGTCAAACACTGTTTTCTTGGTCCATTCAAAATTGAGAGGAAAAGGTACGCGTTTTGTAAGGTGCACCTCACAGCTAGAAATCCAGTTGCCTCTGCACAGCGTTTGGATGGAGAATCGCCTCACATCACAGCTTGCGGTGCTGGCTGGCTGGCCCCACCACCTGGCCTAGACACAGGAATTACCCTTCAACGGTTTCTGTTTTCCAGAATGTTTTCTGGCGTTCTTTTCTTGAGATGTCTGCCACCAAGTCTTTCCATTCATTATAAAAATATTATAGGTCGTGTCTGCCGGAGGGTGTCTGAAACGAAACACACAGGAACTGTACCGCGCAGCCACACGCGGAGGGCTTCCTCCTGTCTGCTCCTCGGGAGGCAACAGAGGCTGAAGCTTCTTGGGGGGCAGGAGTCTACCGACTTCCCACCAGGAGGGTTTGTCGTCTGTGAAATTCCTTTTGCCTCTGGGCACCGCAGAGCCTCTGGGAAAGTCCTTTCCCCCTACTTTCTCATCACGAAGGCAGGCTCCCCACGGTTTTGCTTAGTCTCCATGGGGTGGAGCCAGTCTTTGCCTCTAAGAGACACGGAGGGGAGATGGTGAGTCTGAGGGACAAGCCCCACCAGAGCTGTGAGGTGGGTCTGGTTATTTCCAGGAACTCTAAGTCTTCTCTCATGTCTGCCCCCTTCAAGGCTCTCCTTTCACTTCAGGGGACCCACTGCGGTTTCAGGGGAGAAAGCTGATGTGACATGGTGGTGACTGGCCTGAATGGGTTACCAGTCCTGGGAGCCTTGGCATTTTCATGGACACCTTTAGGGAAAGCGATGCACTCTCGTGGGGAGATTTCAATACCGCAGTCTCAGAGTGGGGTGGGTCGGGTGGGGGGTGGACACCTCCCCCCTCATCACCACCACAGCCCGTTTCTCTGTGGACAAGCTGCATACCCAGCACAGGGTTGCGCAGGACCTGAGGGGCTTTGGAGAGCTGCTCTTCCGCTCAGGAGGGTGTGTCTCAAGGGATGCAGATCAAAGCACATCATTTCAAGGTGCAATTACTACAAATTCTAAACTCTGCTTTCTTGTGCCTGCTCCTGGTTACAGCCATTGTGCTTCAGTCTCTCATCCAGGGGATAACTGAAATATTTAACAACTGGTGCAGACAGGCAGTGACTAATCAAAATGGCCACCACTGCTCCAGGCATCAACCCTTCATTTGCTGGATCACGGGGAAGACGGGGGAGTCTGGGGAGGCTCTGGGAAGGAGCCATTTACCAACAGATACAGGCATCTCTCAATATTCCAACAACCAATGCTGCAGTACCGGCGTGAATGAGCTGAACACCAGCCCCTTCTCACCTCCTCCAGAGCCTCACCCCTCCCCACACTCCTGGAGCTGTACTTTTTCTTTCTGTTCTATGTCCATGTTCCTATTTTCCAATCTTTCAGCCAGAAGGTGTACCATCTCCTCTCTCAGTAGCCCTCAGTGTGGGAAGAGGTGTGACCTGATCTGCAGGGTTTTCCAGAGGCAAGCACGGCCCAAGCCAGGAAACCCAAAACCCAGCTGTGCATTAAGACCACAAGGCAGTGCTCAAAACTAGCCAGCTGGGTTATCTGCACTGCGAAGCATGCAGGTGATGCTGCTGCACCAGCAGGCTTGGCGGTCCCTGCCCTCCTCCCAAATCCCCAGTCAGTAGGAAGCTCTGGGACAATGCTGGCACAAACCCCTGTGAGCTCTGGGAAGGGAGGTGGGTGCTGAAAGCCACTCACAATGGCTGCTTCCTCCTGATGTATGTGATCAACACCAACAGCAGCAACACTGTGGCCACGAGGATTCCCGCCACCGAGACGGCGGCGATGATGATGTTCCGCTGGAGGAAATGCAGAAGCTGCGCGCAGGGCACACTCCTATTTGGAACAGCTAAGTGAGAAGACACGTGGCCAAGTAAACAGAGAGGGACGACCCCATACAGATCTGCAGGGACAGCCTGTTAGTTCTGCTTACAGCCGAAATGAAAACCTTAGCATCTTAGCAGCTGGCTCTGGAAGTCCTCTTGGGGAAGAAACTGGCTATGTTTAGGAAAATACATTCATAACCTGTTTGGTAGTGGAGGTGAGGTGCTGAAGGTAGCAGCCGGCAAGCAGCAAAGCAGCCGGAGTTTGCAGGAGGTGAGGAGAGGGAGAGAGGATGGACGGAGGAGGCAGGGCCACCACAGGAGGTGGGAAAGCCCTGCTGTGGTGGCTTTTAGGAAAAATGGACTCAGGTATTCGGTTTGAAGCTTTTCACAGAGCAGTGACACGATCTCCCCTCTGCTGCCCCCATCCCTCCATCCCTCACCCCACCCCTAGCTTCAGGAAATTCTGCCCTACACGAAACCTGCCTCATGTGTGCAGGTTTGGGGGAATTTCATGACATGAGGCAACATGATGCCAAGATGATTCTGAGCTCATGTGGAATTTTGAGGGTAGATCTGGAATGCCACTGCACGTGGGCTTAGGAGTACAAGGCAATCTTCACTAAATTTCAAAGGAAGGAGACCCCAGGTGACAATGGGGACTCAGAGCTTCTGTCACCCCATTTGTAATGTGACCAAAAAAGAAAAGGGAAATGGGGCACAGAGGTCCAATGACAGGAAGCAGATGTGGAGAAGCTGCTGAGGGAGACCAGAGATGCAGGCGGGAGAATGCTGGCCAGGTGCCTTCTGGGGTGATGGGGAGAAAACAGGGCATGTCCGACAACCCACCTTCATCGATCCTGTGTCAAGAGGCAACCACATCAAGTAACTCTAAGGGCTCTGCTGGAATAATTCAGCATTTAATTTCTTAAAGAGAGGAGGTGACAACCAGGTATAATTGTGATAGCGAGTGGCTACATGGAAGGATTGTACTGGGCTTGGTACCAGCACGTGGCCATGATGGACAAGTTTCCACCCACCGTGGATGGGCCCAGGCTCAGGTAGTCCGAGGGTGAAGATCAGGGACTAGGTTAACCTTTGGGATATAACTCTCCGGATTGTGGGAATGCATCCGTGTGCGGTGCTGTCGGGACTGTGAGGACACCCATGAGATGAAGGACCCATGCTGTGTAGACGCAACAGCAAAGAAGCATCTTTTTGAAAGGTGGAGGGGGTGGGGGTGGGCAAATTCCTGGAGTTAGTTTAATTCGTAATTTTAACTGCAGGTCATTGCTTTTGTGGGTAAATTAAAGGTGTGCTGACATCTAGTCCAATAAAATACCACGAAAGGCAAACAGATGCATTCTGAAGTCATCCATACTTAGGCTGTTATTTAGTTTATGCTGTGTGGATTATTACCTGGACTGATTGCTTCTTGAAGTGCTCCTTTACCTACGGTGGTTAACTGCTTGTCACTTGCATCCCTGTTGAACAGAGAAGATTCTTTATCCCTCTTCTCCTCTGAACTGTGACCTACAAAAGACAAAAAACAAAATGTGTTCATCTAAAAACAACCATCAGCTTGTGATTAGTTCTGTTTTCATGATGCAAGTAATTACCTCTAGAGTCAAAGGGAGGAGCTAGGATTTTGGAGAAGAGTCCAAACTACATCAGTGTTAAGTTTGTTTATTTTTTAAATCTAACAAGTTACTGGGTAGACCGAGGCCGTGGTTCTCACACTTGAGTGTGCATCAGAATCACCAGGAGGTCTTGTTAAAACACAGATCTCTGGACCCCACCCCAGGGTTTCTGAATCAGTAGGTCGGGGGACCTGAGAATGTGCATTTCTCAGAGACCCCGAATGAGGCTGGCTGCTGGTTAGGGACCACATTTACAGGACTTAGCGAGAAACTTCCAACCAGCAGCTGAGCCTCTATGACCCCAGGCTCCACTAGTATAAAACAGAGTAGTAAGACCTATCTCACAGCATAATGTCCATGAAAACAACTTATAAACCACAAAGTATTACCAAAAAAAATGTTTCTTGAAGTGTGTGGCCAAGATGGCAGAGCAGGAAGACCCTGAGCTCACTTCCTCCCATGGGCACACCAAAGCCACAACTCTACAGAACGGCTATCTGTGACAATGACCTGAAGACTTGTAGAAAAGACGTCCCACAACTAAAGATATAAAGAAGGAACCACAGCAAGATGGTGTATAGTCAAGGCCCACATCCCAGTCAATGGAACCCACAAACAGCAGGATAATCACAAATGTAGGAGTCTCTCCCTCCCTCCATCTCTCTGTCTCTCTGCAGAGAACAAGCATTCTGATCTGCTCCTTTATGCTGTGAAATTTTACAAAAGCAAACTCTCTCACGGTGGGGGTTTGGAGAAGTCATGGGTATCCTAAATCTTTCCAGCGTCTAGAGCATTCTTCCTCATTCGTTGAGCACCCACATTATCCAGCCCAGTATTCCTGGAGAAGACGGTCTGAGCCCCACCTGCTGGACCCTTAGCTTAGACTCCCATTTGGTCCAGAACTCAGGCAAAAGGAAGAAGAGGTATTACATGTTGACCCTCAACTCCAATTTTATCCATTTGCATTTACCATTGTTGGAAATTCTGTCCACGCTGCCAAGGGAAAATTCTGATTCAGGAGAATTTCCATCAACATCGGCTTCTTTGATGATGAAACACATAAAAATAATGAAAAAGTTTTTATCAGTACACACAAGCACCTTGGGTCTATTTTTTAAAGTGGTTAAATGCTAATACAGAATTCAGCTTGTACTTGGAAATGAGTACTTGAAAGTTTGTATGTCATTGTAGAGAGTGGCACCAGTTGATGGCTGATTACAGAGGCAGAAGCCCAGGCAGAGGCTGTGGGAAAGGAATGGAAATTCACATTTGTATGCAAATTTCCAGAACAGGGCACTTCCTTGCACTGCTGGAACTTTCTGATACACAATTCTATCCTTATGACCTTGGATCAAATACCTGTCTTAATTCTCAAAGTGTTACTTAAAAAAATAATAATATGAAGCTGCTTTAAAAGGAAAAGTATATTCATCACTTTTGTTATTTCAACAGGTGTGCCCAGGACAAGTGATTTTTTTTTTGGCCTTGTTCTTATCCATGGAATGAGGTACTAAGGACTGCACCGGCTCTCACCTAGAGCTGAGATTAGCCTCAAACCAGGTCATACACGTGGAAGTGTAAGAGTGTCCAGCGGGAGTTATTACACCAGTCAGGGCTCCTGGTGTCAAGAACGGTGAACACCGCTTGGAATTCTAGTTCCCATCCTCTGAATAGCCTCCAGAAGGTAAGAATCTGCCTGACACATGAACTTGAGGGATCTCCCCAAAACAGAGGGATAGTCACACTTTTATCTTGGAGGTGATAGGATTTCAGACAATTCTTTCCTTCACATCTCAATCTGTCTTTGCTGCACAAGTAGCTGTTTTAAAGAATGGTGAAGTGATAGCATGGCACATATAATACAGCCCCTCAGCCTATAGGAAAACGTGCCCTTAGAGATTGAAAGACAATACTTGCTTTCTTTCACGTCTCTCTCTGTAATTGATTCATCTGCTGTCTTTGTTTCATCAAACAGTGCTTCATATGGAACTTTGGAAAACCCTCGCAGTAGAATTTCATCTTAAGTGAAGTAAATAAAGGCATGTTAATACCAGCAGTGGAGGGCTGACATATTTTCTCAGTAAGTACTCAAAGCAGTCTACAAATACAGTGAGTTCTGGGAGATGAGAAGGTCGTGTGAAGACAGGCAGAGACTGGAATGAGGCAGCCCCAAGCCAAGGAGCTCTGGGAGCCACGAGGAGCTGGGAGAGGCAGGAAGGATTCTCCCCTAGAGCCTGCAGAGGGAGCGTGGTCCTGCCAACACCTTGATCTTGAACTTGTGGCCTCCAAAACTGAGAGAGAATAAATTTCTGTTGTTTTTAAGTCAAAAAAATAAATAAAAATAAAAATAAATAAATACAGTGAATAAATGCTACAAACTCAATGGATAGGTGAAATTATACTCGAAAATACCTTCTCTTAGGAAGGGAGATTCTAATCACATAGATAATTTCTGAAAAATTGTGATTCCACTACACGTCCTGGGCAGTAAACACTGACCTCTAAAGATACGTGGCTAGAAACTTTGTCCCAGATCTCACGGTATGTAGTGCCATAATTTTCCTTCTTATTCTTGCTGTCATTCTGACCCACCTCTGAGACTTTCCCCAAGAGGGCCCATAAAAATGGGGTAAAAATAAAGCAGAAAAGATTTTTAAAAGTCAGAAAGCTCTTAATTTACAAGCTGTTCCTAATTTTTCATGGTTATGATTTTTCTGAAATACATTTATTTCTCCTTCCCTTTTAAAGTTTTCAGTATTCTACTTTTTTTCCTCGGGCCAGCAGTTTTATTTTTTCCTTCTAGGTTTACTTTGCAAAGCCACAGAAAATAACCATCACAAATTCCATTCATTCTGTACATATCCTGAGTCCTTTTTCAAGGGCTTTTAGTACATTGGTGGGTGGTCTACTCACCCGATGGAATAAACGCTTACAATAAGGACACGAAAAGGTCAACCATCACAGGGACTCATTGAAAATGATGAGTTCTCACCATCCTCTTTGTTGATGAATGCATTGACCTACAAGTTCCTGAACTGTTGTTCAGAAAGAACCTGGCAAGTTTACCAGTGGACCACCAATGCCAAGGCCAACACTGGCATGGCACTGATCCTTCCAAACCCTGAAC